GGCTGAGCGTGCGAAAGGGAGTTTGTTGTTTGGGGGGGGCGGGTACCGAGTGCGGGAACCGGTGTGTGTCGAGGCGGCGGGCCACGTGGCGTGTGGCTGTGGTCAAGCTGGTGGGTGGCGCCAGCAAGAGCGTTCGGCTCGGCGGCAGTCCACGCGGGCAAAATGGTGGGGACGGTGGTTGTGGTCGTCAGGCTGCCTCTCCGTGAACTTGGGGGACGGTGACTTTGTCTTATGGGGCTCGTGTGGGAGGCGTGACGCTCAGTATGGCGTGGCGTGCGCGCACGTATGTACGTATAGCGAGAGACCAGCGTATCCGTAGCGATGGCTGGCGAGTGAGAGCCGACGGTGTATAAAATCCATGATTCCGAGACCCCCTGACTGTGTGTCTAAGCGCACAGGTTTGGGAGCACTTGCGTAGGTGCCCAAACCGCGGGGCTGCTTCCGACGGACCGACCCGACGCTTAAGTGACGTGTGCGTGAGAGGGTGTGTGTCCAAGCCGCGGAACCGCCTCTGCGGGTCTCCGCCGCTGTCTGTGCCCACAGTGGGCGCCTGCTTGTGACGGCACAACGGAGTCTGAGTTCAGGGGTCCTTTGCACGTCCGCGCTTGAAGCTCTGTGTGTCCGTGTGTGTGCTGCGTGGGTGTGTGAATCCCTAGCTGGCCCGGCAGGGGGTGGGGGGTGCTGGAGAAAGGAGGAAGGTGCACAGTGAATCCGGATTTTGTGTGTGTGCGCGCGCACGCGCACTCGTACCCCTGGGGGAGACGATGGGCATATAATGGAGAGTTAGCTCCTTGCAGGACCATAGGAGCGTGGGAGAGAGATGTCATGGGTAAAAGTGCACGAGAGGAGGCTGAATGTGATTTGATGGTATTTTCACTAGTGAGGGGGCACAGAGTTTCTGTGTGTGTTGGCTTTTATTTCGTTTTATTATTAATCTTTGTTTATTTTTGAGAGAGAGAGAGAGAACACAAGCAGAGGAGGAGTAGAGAGGGAGACACAGAATCCGAAACAGGCTCCAGGCTCTGAGCTGTCAGCACAGAGCCCGACGCGGGGCTCGAACTCACGGACCGCGAGGTCATGACCTGAGCCAAAGTTGGGCGTTTAACCAACTGAGCCACGCAGGCGCCCCTGTTGGCTTTTACTTCTGAGAGGAAAATATACTTTTGTGCTGGGTTGGAGTTCCACGAGGAAAGCGTACATGTGTTATTTCTGAAGCGTACATGTGTTATTTCTGAAAGAGTGTATGTGTGTGTGCCCGAGTTAGTATGTTGCATTAGGTTTTGTTTTTGTTTTTTTAATGTATTTATTTTGAGAGAGCGTGACCAGGTCGGGGCAGATAGAAACCCCAGCAGGCTCCCCACCGTCAGTGTGGGGCTCGAACTCACGAACCATGAGATCACGGCCTGAGCCGAAGTCCGACGCTCAACCGACTGAACCACCCAGGCACCCCACGTTATGTTTTTAAGAAGGGAGTGTGTGTGTGCATGTGTCTTTCTGAGAAACTAGGTACATGTTGTGCTGTATTTGAAAAAAGAGCGTGTATTCTGTTTCCGAGAGGAGAATGTGTGTGCCACCTTGTGTAATTAAGAAGGGAGGTTGTGCGTGTCTTTGGGTCTATTTCTGGGACGGGAGTGCGTTTGTGCGCTTGTGTGTGTGTATGAGGGCTCCAGAGGCCCCACCAGCTGTGTCACTGACTTTGTCACCCACATACAACCACATGAAGCGCCACACGTGAGACCCCCACGTGTCACCCTGTAGGCCTCGGACTCTGAGCTGTCACATGGCCAATGTGACATCCATGGGCCGTGCCTGCCACACGTGTGTCCCAACATGCCTTGGGCTGGCGGAGCCCGTCTGCCGTGGAGGCCGGAGCCCCTGTTCCCTTGGGATCTGTCGGCATCTCAGGCCCCGGGAGCTGACACATGGGCCCCCCCTTTCCTGACCCCCCAATTCCAGAGGGCTCCTCTGCTTCTGGTGCCCCAGCCCCTTGGCCCTCTCCTCCGGGCCCCACCCCACCCTCAGTGGTCTGACTGGTTCCCAACAAAAACACCCTAAGAATGAGCTCACGGAGAGGCTGCTGCCTCCACACGCCCCGCCCCACACGCCCAGCCTAGGAGGGCGCCTCCAGTCCCAGGTCACATAGCCCGGAGTGCTAGGCCAGGGTACCTGGGGCCCTTGGGGTGGAGGGGGCTGGCCAGGTGAGCTCAGGGCAGGGGAGAGGCCACAAGACCACCGTTTGCCCTCTTTTGGTTAGTTGCACACGGGGTTTGGAGTTGCCCTCGGGGCAGGGCCCTGGGCTGAGGACAGGCAAAGCTAGACTAGAACGTTTCCAGTTGCTGGAATGGGTGTGGGACAGGGAGCCGGCTGGCGTGGGGAGGGCACGGAGGCAGAGGGCTGGCTGGCTGGGGAGAGAGTCGGGAAGGGTCCTGCTGGCTGGAATGACGCCGCGGCTGACGGGCTGGCTTGCCTGGCTCCGGCAATGACGATCCGCCAATCCCTGCCGCCCCCAGGAGCGGCGATGTCCGTGCAGGTGGCGGCCCCCGGAAACGCGGCCCTGGGCCCGGAGCGCCTGAGCCCCGAGGAGCTGGTGCGCCAGACACGGCAGGTGGTCCAGGGGCTGGAGGCCCTGCGGGCGGAGCACCGTGGCCTGGCTAGGCACCTGGCGGAGGCCCTGGCAGGGCAGGGCCTGGTGGCGGGCTTGGAGCTACTGGAAGAAAAGCAGCAGGTGGTGAGCCACGCGCTGGAGGCCATCGAGCTGGGACTGGGTGAGGCCCAGGTATGAGGGGACCGGCGATCCCGCTGTGGTGCGGGGGAGGCTCGGAGCTGGGAGGAGGCCCAGGGATGAAGGGGGCAGGTGTGTGGGGTGGGGGAGGGAAGCCTGGAGCAGGGAAGGCCTAGGCTGGGTTAGGCTTAGGGGTCCCTGGGCAGCATTACCGGGTCCTTGTGTGGGACAGGGGCCCCTGAACCAGATCGTGTCCGTCTATAGAACTTGTCCTAGGGAGACTTTGGGGGTTACCTGGGCAGAATGTGAAGTGTCCCTACGCATGATTTGTGTGCCTAGGTAAAATCAGAAGGGTCCCTGGGCAGGATGTGGGTACGCCCCTGGGAGCCTCTGCGTATCCTTGGGGGTCACACGGAAGGGCCTGTGTAGAATCCGGGGGATCCTGGGTGGAATGGGGCTGCGCTGGCGCGATCGGAGGCCCCGGGGTGGACCAGGGGCTGTCGGGCAGGGTGGGGACCGGCCCCTGCTCCCCAACCCCCTACAGGTGCTGCTGGCCCTGTCCGCGCACGTGGGCTCCCTGGAGGCAGAGAAGCAGCGGCTGCGAGCGCAGGCCTGGCGGCTGGCCCAGGAGAACTCGTGGCTGCGGGAGGAGCTGGAGGAGACGCAGCGAAGGCTGAGGGCCAGCGAGGAGGCCGTGGCCCAGCTGGAGGAGGAGAAGAGCCACCTCGAGTTCCTAGGGCAGCTGAGGCAGTATGACCCGCCCGCGGAGAACCAGGTGCTGCAGGGCCAGCGGGGACCAGGGCCACAATGCGCTGCCCCCCCCCCCACTGGCCCTCCTTAGGTACCCCACAGACCTGCACTCTCCACGGAGCCCCCAGCGCCGTAGACCCTTCAAAGAACCCCCTTGAATTCCCACAGAACCCCCCAGCTTCCACACCCCTCTCCAGATCCTCCCCGAGCCCTCCGGAAACTTCCCGAGGCTCCTGAATGCTACCTCCCTCAAACCCTGAGACCCAGGACCCCGGTCTCTAAAACAGACTTCCCAGCCCTCATGACTCCCCGCTTTCCTGTCTTTGCAGCGGCCTGAATCCCCGCCTCGCCGGGACAGCCTGGCCTCCCTGTTCCCCGGTGAGGAGGAAGAGAGGAAAGGTGGGTGTGGGGGAGCACGCGATGGTGGGGCACTCAGCCTCGGAGGATGAGGGGCCGTGAGCCCCCAGGGTCTCCGGGCAGGGATGTGGGCATCGGGGCCGGGTATCGGAAGTGGCTGGGCCAGGGCGGGTGGCAGCTGGCAGGGGAGGCTGGTAGCCGTGAAGCCAGCCCTCCACCCTTGCCTCCCCCCCGCCCCAACCCCGGGTAGACCCCATGTTCACAGCCCTTGGACCAGTTAGACGCCTGCGATCCCGATCTCAGACGTCAGCCCAGCGGCCAGTGGGGCTGCGAGGCAGCTAGAGTTCTGGGGGTGCATGTGTTCCCTTTCGTGGGGTGGGAGGGGTAGACTTGCAGTGACTCGACGCCCCCCACCTGCAGGTCCGGAGGCAGTGGGGGCCGCAGCCGCTCAGCAGGGGGGCTATGAGATCCCCGCCCGCCTTCGGACCCTGCACAACCTCGTGATCCAGTACGCAGGGCAGGGCCGCTACGAGGTCGCCGTGCCACTGTGCCGCCAGGCCTTAGAGGACCTCGAGCGGAGCTCAGGCCACTGCCACCCTGACGTGGCCACCATGCTCAACATCCTGGCGCTGGTGTACCGGTGAGGGCCACCGTCGGCCGTGGACCTGTTGCTGGGGGCAGGGGAGCCAGCATGGGGCACCTGGACTGGTGGGTGGGGGCGTCGAGAGGGATCTGGGGAAACCACTGTAACCCAGGCAAAGAGGAATCCGAGAACGTGGGTAACCGACCCCAACAGACAGGGAAGAGACGTTGGGGTGGTTGGAGGCAATCTGGGGGTAAAGGGACCCTGTGCTAGACTTGGGAGGTGCGGAGACCCGGAAGGGATCGCAGAAGGGTGGTGCCATCCCGCTTGGTTCAGCCAAGTACTACCCAGCACAGCTGACCCCTCCCCCCCCTCCATCCCTGGGCCACCCCACAGGGACCAGAACAAGTACAAAGAGGCCACAGACCTTCTCCACGATGCCTTGCAGATTCGGGAGCAGACGCTGGGCCCCGAGCACCCCGCGGTGAGGAGGGGACGAGGAGTGAGGGCTGCGGGGCCGTGCCTCCCACCCCTGACCTGCCTCCCCCACTCCACAGGTGGCCGCCACCCTCAACAACCTGGCTGTGCTCTATGGGAAGCGCGGGCGTTACCGGGAGGCCGAGCCGCTGTGCCAGCGTGCCCTGGAGATCCGCGAGAAGGTATTGCCACCACCCCCTGCCCAGCACAGTCCCCTGCCCCTTCCCACTCGATCCTGATGCGCTCAAATCAGGGGCTCTTGCGTTGCAACCCTGATCCCATGATGTCCTTGCCATCTGATATCATGAGCACCCAGTCTGAGCCTGAATTACCCCATCGCATGACTCCCTACCCTTGACCTTCGGTGAGCTCCACCTGATCTTGACTCCTGACTCTGATCCTCCTTAGAAATCCCCTCATGTGCCCTCCAACCTGGTCCTGACCTTCCAACCCCATCGGGGCCCCCCCCCATGACTTTGTGACCTGATAAATGGCATTTGTGTGACTTCTATCCTCCCGCAATTCTCCCCATTGATCTTATAAACCTTAACTCCTGGCCCCCATCACGGCTGCTGGCATCACGTGGCCCACCAATCCCACTGACCCCTAGGTCCTGGGCACCGACCACCCGGACGTGGCCAAGCAGCTCAACAACCTGGCCCTGCTCTGCCAGAACCAGGGCAAGTTCGAGGAGGTGGAACAGCACTATGCCCGAGCCCTGAGCATTTATGAGGCCCTGGGGGGGCCCCACGACCCGAACGTGGCCAAGACCAAGAACAACCTGGTGAGGGCATTGCGGGGCACAGGTACAACCTGGGGCGGACTGCCAGGGTCCCTCGGGAGGGAACCGCATTGGCTCAAGGGTGGGACAGGCTGGAGGCCAGTATCCCCCCTCCTCTGCTGAGCCCCTGGAGGAGGGGTCCTCTCCGACCCAGCCTCAGCTCGAGATCGCTCAGCACAGGAAGGACATGGAAACATCAGGAAACCACGCGCGTCGCTGGGGCCAAGATGTCAGTGTCCTATTTATTGAGCTCTAGCCACCACCCCCCCCTTTTTTAGTACCTTCCCGGTACCCTCCACTTCTTAAAGGGCCCTAGGAGGGAGGTGCTGTTACCGTCCCATTTTGCAAACGAGGAAATTGAGGCACAAAGAGGTGGTGTCACTAGCCCAAGGCAGAGCAGGAACCAGTCACCTGCCCTTGGTCACTAGGTGGGAGGTTGGGGGCGGACGCGTCTGGCTCCTCCTGTAACACCGGGCCCAGGGAGGTAGATCGGAGCCAAGATCACCCAGGCCCTCCCCTCCCCGCAGGCCTCGGCCTACCTGAAACAGAACAAGTACCAGCAGGCAGAAGAGCTGTACAAAGAGATCCTCAGCCGGGAAGACCTGCCTGCCCCTCTGGGTGAGCCCCCTCCCGTGCCCCCCCCCCCCCCCCCCCCCAGGTGACTTCTCAGTGTCCCCACTGCACTGTCCCCCATCTGTTCTTAGGAGCCCCCCCCACAGGCACGGCTGGGGACACAGAACAGCAGGTGAGGATGGGTTTTGCTTCCGCCACAGGGGTGGGGCCTGGCTGAGAAGCGGGGACTGACCCCTTCCCCGGTGTCCTCCCCAGCCCCTGCGTCGGAGCAGCTCATTCTCCAAGTTCGCTTGGTCCGCCAGTGGGAAGCCGGAAGTTGGTCTCCGTCTGCCTCAGGCTGAGGGGGTGGCTGGGGCAGCAGGGTGAGTGGTCCACTGGGTCAGCAGAGAGCCCGACGGCTGCAGCCTCTGCAACCCACCCCACCCCCTGTCCTGCTCAAGAACCGTCTATGGTTCCCATCTGCTCTGGGACACGAACAGTCAGATCAGGTGCTGGGACAGTCTTCCCCAGAGCAGGAGCCGGACCCTCCGGGACTCCCCCTCTTCTTACAGAATGAAGAGAGCCATGTCGCTCAATATGCTGAACGTGGATGGTCCAAAGGCTGCAGGGACCCAGGTGAGGGGGGCACTCGGGTCAAGGATGGAGTAGGGGGCCACGCTGGGAGACCCAGAGGCAAGGCTGGGTCCGGTCAGGCTAGAGTGGGGACGGCCCTCACGGCGACTGGAGCCCGGCCTCGTCCTGCCCCCGTGCCTGTCTGCAGTTCACCAACCAGCACCTGAGCGAGGCTGCTCGGACCCTCAGCGCCAGCACCCAGGACCTGGGCCCCCGCTGAAGTTGACAGGACCACACGGCTCCAGCTTCTCAGGAAGAGTGGGGAAGGGGTGGAGGTTGGCCTTTCAGCTCCCGGATGACCTCTCCCCTGGGGGGGGCCCCGGGGTATCGGGCTTCACTGTGCCCCCCTCTCCTCCTGCGATTAAAGGCTGTAGATTCAGAAGCCAGGAACATCTGCCTGCGGCTTCGTGCAAGGACCCCGGGCGACTTCCGGGCTGCTGGGACCCAGGGCCAGGTAGGACTCTGCAGTCCCTGCCCTGAGCTACAGCTGCTGAGCAATCTGCTCTATCCTCCGCAGCGTCTCCTCCGATTCCAGCTGCTCCAGGCTGAGCAGGGACAGGCCCAGCTGGTCCTCCTGGAGGGGACGGAGTGATCAGGTCAGGGGCAGGCGGTGTAGCGCTTCCCCACGGGACTCAGGGATCCAAGACTTGAACACCAGTAGTGACAGGAAGTGGCCTGTATCGGGCCTACTGGGGCTTTAGAAACACCTGTCCGATGGGGAACGTACCATCCCTGGCAGGCCAAAACAGGCCTGAGGGAGGGAGAGGGGAGCCGGCCGGACTCCCACACCCCTGCCCGATCACTACAGACGCCCCACGGGGCCCCCATTCCAAAGGCCTCTCTGTGGGGGGCAGGCTAGGGTTGAGAAAGTCAAGGGACCTTCCTGGACGAGGGGCTTAGCCATGTCCAGCTCACCCGGTGGAAGGGCTGAGCCATCTGCCTCAGGAAGTACTTGGCGACCTGGACCCCCTCATCCACCGTCAGGTTGAGGTTGGCGTCAGTGAGGTGCTCCTGGATCCAGCGGGGAAGCTTCCCGCGCTTGTCTGCCCGGGCGAACCGCTTTCGGCAGGCAGGCAAGGGAGAGAGGATAGACATCAGGACCCTGGGGGTGTGGGGGGGGG